ATATATATATATCATGATATAAAGTAAGTTTTTACATATTAAAATCATGTGTAAACTTCATAGAATCATTTTTTATAGTCATGGGATCCTATACAATAGAGAACTGGTAAAGCCATATTAACATAATTGAATCTCACAAAAATAATGCTTTAAAAAAACCCCGAAAAGCAGTGTGATGCATACAACATGTCATTTGTATACAATTAATAATTGTAAAAAAATGTACGATGTTTATAGATACGTATTTACTATTTAGAAGAACTCAACAATAAATACTAAATAAAGGATAGTAGTTTTTCTGGAGGGTCCATGAAGAAAGAGGTATGCAATTTTATATGGGTATACATCAGGCAACATTTTTTACTACTTTGCTCCTATAGTAACATGTTATAAATGGAAAGACCAAATTATGGGAAGTGAGTTTGAGAGTAAGAAGGAACACATTTTAATATTATAATTTCACTTTATACATTGAATTAATGATTAAATCAAAGGAGATAATAAATACAAAAGGCTAAGAAAGGGTATAAAGAGACAATGCTGAAGAAAAGAGAGTAAAATAATGCAATTAGATGCAAATATGTACCAAAAATGGAAAATAAAGAAACTAGGTTAAGCAGGAGTATACAAAAGCAGTAAAACAAATGATTGTAAATAATACAAAATTAATTCATTGAGGCAAAAATTATAATGCTCTGGACAAATCTCAGAATCTTTACATTATAAATAATGAATATATTTTTTATTTAGGTTGGAGCAGATATCTGTGGATTTGTGGTTGAGACCACAGAAGAACTTTGCAGAAGATGGATGCAACTTGGGGCATTCTACCCATTTGCCAGAAACCATAATGCTGATGCATATGAGGTATATGACTCTTGTTTCCCTTGTTTTGAAATAAAACACAATCCTATTTTTAGCAATGTACCTAAATTTGTATCTATAGAAGATATGGTCTGAAAGTTTGTAGCATAACTGATGAAGAGTTAGAAGTCCTTTTCTAAAGGCATGTCTATAAATATTTTGTATATAAAAAATGGTCAAATAGGGAAATCATGAAACATAATGTAGTCATAACATATTTTATTTAAACCTAAAGTGTATATAAGTATGTTAAAATCACAGTATTTTAAATTAAAGCCAAAGACTTTTGAGTCTGGATTCTAACAATATAAGTTCCAGGTATCTTTTATTTCATAAAATATATAATACACTATTGAGGATTTCCAGGGGTTTTTTTGTTTTTGTTTTTTCATTAAAGAAACACAAATATTAAAGCCACTTGCAGAGCTGTTTGAATCCAGAGTCTTTCTATAATAAGCAAAACTGAATGACACGGTGGGAAAAAATAAAACTACCATTTTTAAAACATGCGTCTGAACTGGTGGGAGCAGAAGTGTAAGGACACACTGAGCTGTTCTCCCAGCCCTGAGAATTCATGCTGTGGCTCCCATGTGCTATTTTTCAGAGAGAATGGGGAAATTAGGTAAAACCATCCAGTTAATTCAGCACATGTTAGTTAAGAAATTATTCACTGTTCGCATATTGGTTATATATGGGGCCTTAATCCTGTTTGAGAAGAGAGATAGCCACTCAGAGCTCAGCCTGGAAGGAGACAATATAGAACAAAAGCAAAGGGTATTGATTGGAGATTAGTCAATTTCTAATCTACCTCAATTGTGCTTTCAGAAACTTTGTATTTATGGGAGATCCTGATAGGAATTACACTGTGCTCTGGGTTTATTTGTGCACTCCAGAAAGTAGATGCCAATGCAGACATCTTAGAGATTTATTGGTGAAATACTTGTGAAGGATCAAGGGGAGGGAGCAGNCCCTGCTGCTCAGAGCTGGTGTCCCAAGCCAGCCCTTAACCAACATGCCACTCGGCTGACCTCAATGTTATTTATAAGAGCTGTGAATTACACTTAATTTTGTAATATTATCTTAATGATATTCAGTGAAATGATTAAAAGTATGTTACAAAAAATTCAATCTTTATTCTTAAGTAATTTATGAGAAAAATAGGAATATTGGTGATATTTATAACATTCAAGACATCATAGTGAGGAAATGTAATAAACAAAATTCAATGAAATCAAAATAATTCATGAAATAAATATCAATATAAATAAGGCATAGAAAATGCTTGTATAATACATATAAGGCACCAGATCAGATGGTAGGGGAAAATCCAAATATATTGTTATAAAAGTAAATGCCAAATGGCTAAAACTATTTAATATACTAAATTGTTAGTTTTGGTTAAAAAATACAGCTTTTTTCTCTATTTTAAAAAGGTAATGACGGAGACATTTTCAAATTTTAAAAGCAAAGAAAATTTGTACTAAGCAATTCTAAACATAAGGTATTTGGTAAGTCTATGCAAAGCAGTAAAAGACTTATTCAGTGTTAATATTCAACACTACAGAGGGCTACTACATAACAAAATAAATGTAAAATATAATAGGAAATTACAATGATTTATTCTTTCTTTTACTGTGCTGAACAAAATGAAAACCAAAAACCATCCCCTCCAAAAAAAAAAAAAAAGAAGAAAGAAAGAAAAAAGCTAACACATACACACAGAGTCTTGAATTAGGAAATTAAAAACATTATCAAAATTTCATGAGTCAAAAAATAAACTGAATGGAAATAGGGGATTACATTTAAAACTGGATGCTAATAATTGTATTTCATATCAAATCTATGGAATACCAGCTAAGTTGATATTTAGGGAAAAACTTACAGCCTTAAATACTTAGGTTAAAAACAGTGAGAGGCTGAACATTAATGAGTGAAGTGCATGAATTAAGAAAATTGAAAAAGAAAAACAGAATAAGGCTAAAGAAAGATATAGATAATAAAAGTAAGAGAAGAAATTAACACAGTGAAAGGAAAGTCTCTAGAGAAAAAAAAACAGAAGTGCAAAGGTGACTGAAAATTTAAATAAAATAGACCAATTTATGGCAAGTTTTGTTGAAAACAGAAGAAAAAATAACTAATGTTACATTGTATATTAAGATAAGATGTTATTTATTACAGCAACCGATTGAATAATAACCAGGAGTAAATGTTAAAACTGAATGTAGCACATTTTTGAGAAAATTTTAAATAACTAAATAAAGTATACCATGTTCTTGGAGAAGGCGGCTCAATATATTTGAAGTGTGCATTCTTACCAAACTGTTATCCAAATTCAGTGACATTCTAATTTAAACTATAAAGGGAATTTGGGGAACTTATGAGATTATTCTAAACTTCATGTGAAAGGCAATCAATTTGAAGAAGTAGAAAAACACATGAGAATTTGCCTTATGAGATAAACAGTAATCTAAAACAATGATAATTGACTGTGGCTATTCAGATAGATTAATATGGAAAAATAAAGACACAGGCCCATATATTAATGGAAATTTATTAAATGATAACACTATCACTGTAGATCAGTGAGGAAAGTACCAACTATTCATATGGACAATTGATTTTACTTTGGAAAAATAAAGTAAAATAGATTCATGTTTCACACCATACACAAAAATCAATCCTAGATTGATCAAACACCTATATGTGAAAAATAATCTTCAAACATTTTAGAAGAAAATATAAGTGGGTAACTTATGACATGAGGTTGGAATAATAGTTCTTAAACAGAACACAGTGGCACAAATAATTAAGAAACATAGGGCTGGCCGAGTGGNTTTCTAAATCACAAAGTTTGATTTTTTTTTTTTTTAAGCTGAGCCATCCTGCCACCTGTTGGCAGCTCAGCGGCTGCTCAGCTCTGGCCAGTAATTGAACTGCTGTTGCTCAGAGCTCAAACTCTCGAGCGAGCTCTTAACCAACTGAGCCACTCAGCTGGCTCCTTAGTTTGATATAATTTTGAGACCCTGAAATCAGTATTTTTGTTTGATTTACTTTTGGCCAAAATATGCCTAAGGAAAGGCGCATGATTTAAATTTTGGCATAGCATATTAATTTATTTTCACCATGATAAATTGCCAATGATTAAGTAATTAATGAAAAGAAACAAAGAAATACTTCTAGTTATAATTTAAGTGATTGATTTTTTTTCATGAGCAGTTTGCTGTAAGTTTGTACAGTAATTAGAATGTATCTGATGTGAATAGTTACATCTCACATATTCTAAAAAACATGTTTTTTCATCATTAAAAGTGGGAAAAAACATGAAAAAGTTGTGTTCTTAGGAGAATATATCTCTACAAGGACATCTGAAGAAAGATGACATTAATTATTGTAATACCACATATGCCTTCACATTAAAGCACAATAGAAAACTGAAAAGCAAACATTTAAATGGTCTATAATTGTGTGACAGGTCTACATGTGTAGAATTAGATCATATTTAAGAAAACTATTCCATAAAGCTTTAAAATGAGTCTGTTGCTCTTTGATATACAATGAAAATGTGTATACTTCCATATACCTGTACAGGCTATTTTTTTTTCCTTTGGATGCATTATTGAAGTTAGGAAGCAGAGTACTTATTAGTGTAAGTGCAAACCTAATGGTTAAATCAACAGGTGTGAAGAGTAGAGACCTAGTTGGAATTTAGCTTAAATTGTCATCTTTTATCGTTTATTTAACTAAGTATGGTAGTATATAACACATCATTTATGGATTACAAAATTTAAAATGGCAAAATATCTCTTATCATAAAGTTGAAAATGCAAGGACTTTCTTAAATAATGTTTCTTATATAATTTATCTAAGACATTCTTGACAAGCTCATGTATTCCAAAACCATTTGCATGGACGCTGTGCAATACTGGGGGAAACACTATGACGTTCACAGCCTCTATGGATACAGCATGGCTATAGCCACAGAAAAGTAAGTTCTACTTCATTCAGAGCCTCTTTCATATTTGTTGTCTAGAAATAGATTTGATAATTTATTAATTTGTTGAAAAATACCAAAAGTAAACAAAAATAATATTTTCATGGTAAAAAATGAGAACGTTAAAAGCATTATTTTAGTAATATTCATGGATTTGGAACTTTGTTATGAAGAACAACATTGTGTATGTATTTAACTGTAATTTATGCTCAATTCACAGATTTAAATCACCCTATACATTTTTATTTTGTTTGCTATCTCTGAATATAATTGTGTTCTAAGCATAAACTTCACAGTTGGCCTGAGCGAACAGTGCTTCTAAGAATAGGTCTTTATTTTTCAAAAGCAAGGGCTTCATTAAAATATAGTTTTCTACGTAGTATCTCCCAAACTAATTTTCTAATGCAATGTGTTACTTGTGTTTAAAAAAGAAAATTATACTAAACAAAGGACGGGGACCACCATATGTTAATTGTCTACTATTTTTCAAGCATTGTATTAAGACCTATAATTCAACAGTCAATAAAACTCAGATCCTGGTCTCAGTAAATTATTAATTTCCATATAATTAAACAACTACAATTAATTTTTAATTCAAACACATGTTTAGTCACCAATCATACCATGATATCAAAACTTTTATATACTGTCATCAACTGGTCATTTACTTCACTTTTTAAATTTAGTAGAGCACTGCATATTACATTGTATAAGTAAATACGTATACATTCTAGAAAGAAAAAGCAACACTATAGTTCAATATTATAAAGGTAATAATATAGAAAAAAACACCTGAGAATACTATTGTATTTTTACTAAGGTAGTCTGAATAATTGTATACATTAAATTAAACTTTTAGGGCCAACCGAGTGGCTCAGTTGGTTAAGAGCTCTCTCAAGAGTTTGAGCTCTGAGTAACAGCAGTTCAATGCCCTGCCTGAGCTGAGCTGCCACTGAGCTGCTAACAGGTAGCAGGATGGCTCAGCTAAAATAAATAAATAAATAAATAAATA